ATACAGTAACCTATTTGCACACCTGTATTTAGGCCTGACTCTGCTCTAGATCCATCAATACAGAAAAATGCTATAGATGTATATTCAAAATCTGAAATACAAACATAGATTACCATATGTGCACTTGTTACTCTGGAGTCACCAAATCACAGGTATCTATAAATATCATATGCTGTCTTGAGTATTGTACCCACCAAACTTGGCTGTGACAGCCTCCGCATTGAAGGCTCAGTGATAAAATAAGGTCACCTATAAACCTACATGGGCATTTGGATATTCATACAATCCATTGACTCTTTGGCTACAGGTAAAGCCATTGGATCCATGCAGAACATTGCTAATTGTGTCAATAGAAGGGTGAGGGAATGGCCAATGGGGTGGTGGTGCAGGTAGGTTTTTTTAACCTATTTAATATATGGTCCAAATAGCAGACACTTTACAAGTGACAGCACATAACCCCAGTTCTTGCAAATTATATTCCCGATTTAAGCATGCTTGTAATTTGGAATATCTTCGATATCCTTAATGATGTTAATGTTACATGTACTGCTTCCATTGGGAGTTATACTACTGTCAATATGGCTGCTGGCTGGTTGCGGGTGCAGGAATTGCATCTGTTTCTGCAACCACGACGCATTTCTCTTGCGAGACACTGGGGGGTTGCCATTCATTCTGAATAGCACTCCCACACATCTCATTCTGCAGCTGTTTCCATGCATATGCGTTTTGGAAAAGGTGCATGCACTTTTTCCTTGCGTGAAACGCTGGCACAGCAGCCCATTCAAATGAATAGGCTGCTGTGCCCATGCAAATGCGGTCTGCACGACCTGCACTAGTATGAACCGGGCCTAAAGGTAAGGGAGTAACAATTGTGAGTGCTGCTAATTTCTGTCAGCAAAGTTGGTGAGCTGGCCTTACATGGATAGAAATTTGGCAGAATTCCTTACATGTATGGGCAGCATTGATCAGTGTATTCTGACAGTGGGTAAGTCTCTCTTCCATCAAAACACAATAGCTCATTGGGAGTGATTCCCTCATCCACCTTGAATGCGTGGATGGGGGAATTAGTCGTTTTAAAAAAAAATTACCAAATGTATGGGCTGCCAACTACCAGAGGCACTGGGATTCATTTGAGAATGTATTTCACAGGGAGACATCTGCCGGCCTATGACCAGCCTGAGGGTCTATGTACCCAGGCTTTTGTTCACATCAGAACTGCTTTTTATCAGAACAGCTCAATGAAACGAGCATACTACTTCAAATGAGGTCAGAAGGGTCTCAAAAGTGTCTGACACCTATTTCAAATTCAAGCATAAATATCCCTACAAATGTCATGTATTTGCCGATCTGCATAAACATATAGAACCTGGCCATAGTTGGGTTGCAATTCAGTCAGTTCTGCAGGGACTGGACAAATTTCAATCCATCTATGGCCTATCCCATTCCTGAGACGTCAGTCTAATGACTAACTTCCCATGAATGGGCTTGCTTGAAATTTTTTTTGTTCAATCAGTTCTGCAGTGCCTTCCGACAGCGGTGTAGTCCCCACTGTCAGAATACAAAAACCATGCAGGGAGTATTCCTATGTCCACCTCACTTGTGTGGATGAGGAATCCGTTCAGGATTTTTATTCGGCGCACTGGCTGATCGAAAAAAACAAAATAACAAACTGTTGTATGGCCAGCTTAAAAGAGAAGTATGACCAAAGCTACTGTGGCCATACTTCTCCTGTGGATCACAGTAGTGCACTCCTATGACGCAGATATATCAACAGCAATCTAAAGTCCACTGTCTGCTGACTACAAACAGGGGCGGACTGACAACTCATGAGGCCCCCGAGCAATAGGGGATCATGGGGCCCCTGTGTCCTTGCCCAAACTCAAAGCCTATGAAAAAGGTACCAGGGGCATCTCATGGGGCCCCCTACTGACCCCGGGCCCTCGGGCAGTGCCCAAGTTTCCAAATGGTCAGTCCGCCCCTGACTACAAAGCAGTTCCAGGCTCTGCAGGGATCCCGACAATAATGCTCAATCTCCAACCTGGCACTCCAGTAATTTTGTGGAGCAGAGAACCAATGACTGACAGTCACCTCTCTATGCTCAGAGTGGACCTGAGAACTTAGCAATCATTGGTCTTTGGTCAGTTCTCGGTGTAGAGCCAGTGGGTGACAGTTGCAGCATTGGATTGATGCTGAAGCCGTCTAGGTGAGTATATATGGTTTTTTTTTTTTTTTTTTTTTTTTACATTCCTGCACTTATCTTTTAGGTTTCATTCACACTTCTTGATTTATAATCGCTTTGTAGATTCCAAATCGCGTGGCAATTGCAGTACAATGCACGGCACGCTTTTGGTTGCTAGTATCCTTCAATGGCACCCCAAATGAGAAACGATTCTGCTGCAATTGTCACATGAAATGATTGCTCGGCAAACCACACCTTTAAAAAACAAAAAATATACTGCAGTTTACCAGTTCTTAAATGTGTTGGCTACTTTTGTTTTGCATTGCCGGTCTGAGAAGAGGGTTTTCTTAGATTCACTAAGAGATATACAGTATATGGGCTTGACTAGCAAATTAAAGTAGAGCTGCTAATGCTTTTTAAACAGTTACAGCAACAGTTTTTTTCCTTTTGAAATAAAGATTTTACATAAAAGAAAAAAAAAGCTGACCATAGTGGGTACCCAGTCAGTATTAAAAATTTGTTTCAAACCTCTAACTGCTAATTTTCCTGGACAGCTTGGTCTCTTTACAGGACATTGAAAAATAAGAAACCTACTGGCTGGATCACCGGGTGAAAAAAAGAAAATAAAAACAGCCAACACATTTAAGAATTGATAAGCTGCAATATCATTTAACAGTGCTAATAGGCATAGATGTGATCAATATTGCTGTCCAGGGATAGTAACACATTTCACTTTTCTCTATTTCTGATATGCATACTGTGCATCTTTATGGTAATAGCATCTTTCTGAAAAACAGACAGATGGTAATTTTGAAGATTTTGCTGGGAGAGATAGCTAAGAAGATTACACTTTTCTGATCTGGAATATTGTCCTTGGGTTACTGAATAATGCTTCAAAATTGAGTGGTATAAGCAATGGCCTCATTGACCCTCATGCAGAATAATTATTATTTATTTCAGGTACTTATATTGCGCTGTCAATTTACGTAGCACTTTACATATATATATATATATATATATATATATATATATATATATATATATATATATATATATATATATAATTAGTACATTCACATCAATCCCTAACCCTCAAGGGGCTTACAATCTAAGGTCCCTAACTCACATTCATGTATACACATACTAGGGCCAATTTAGACGGGAACCAATTAACCTACCAGCATGTCTTTGGAGTGTGGGAGGAAACCGGAGTACCCGGAGGAAGCCCACGCTGGCACAGAGAGAACATGCAAGCTCCAGGCAGGTGGTGCCGTGGCAATGACCCTAGTACCGCCAGGCGGAAGTGCTAACCATTTAGCCACTGTGCTGCCTCCACCTCCTCCCTCCTTCATCTCCATAGCACCTACTACATGGATAAAGGCACACTTTACACATAAGATAATTTCTTGTTCTAGGGACCTGATCATATCTTGGAAATGCTGTTTGTGTACCCAATACTCATAGGGCCTTATTTACTTAAATGAGAGGTGAACCTAAAAGTGTAAAGTCACTTGGAAGTGACCCAGGGGTTGCCTTGCCAGGTCTGATTTTCCACAGAGGCATGTATCATGATGTAACCAACAATGATATTAACTTGTACAAAAAATCTTGGCTTACATAGGGAAACAATCTCTCGCGTGCACAATTTTCTTGCCACCTTCTTCCGGGTAGTTCTTTTGCTTCTGATCATGCATGTTTTTTTTCTTTTTTCTATTCGATTACTTCCATATGATTACAGTACACCATTGAATGAAAATCAGACATGGTGTTCACATACAATAAAAATTTTCTAGCTTTTTTTTTTTTTTTTTTTTTTTTTTTTTTCATCCAAATGGTCAGAATCAGCTGTCGAATGCACTATACTAATGATCAGATAATCAACTGATCATTACTCATATGGAAATTTTGGTACTGTTTTTCTATCTTGTGTACGGTCCTTTAGTCAAACCCAATTCCTTCCTAATATAGGAGCATCCTAAAGAGTACATATCACCATACCATTCATTAAAGGTTATGGGGTGGGGGGTGTAAAGGAGCTTGGCCAGCACGAATAGTAATTGGGTACTTCCAGAAAAGGAGAGGGCTAAGGGGGGGCTGTATGAAGGTATTCACTCTTCCTGAAGTCGTTCAATTTGTTAGCGAGTTCAGTGGCACATTGCAAGTTAACAAAAAAAATTGATAGACATTAAAAAAAATTCTTGATTCCACCCCCCCCCCCCCCCCCCCCAACTCCTCAATAGCCAAGCTAAAGATTAAAATCCTAACCCTCAGTGGTTTACCCTGATTGAGATACAGAATTTTTCTAATCCAAAATCGGAGCACTTCCCTTGATTACTTCTGGAATACCAAAGAATATTTTCCACATACCTTCTGTTTACGGTCTGTCATGAAACAAGATTTAAGTCCTTCTCTATGTGATCACTTAATTAGTTTGTGTCCATTAAAGTGACTCCAAGAATTAGATTATGGGATTAAAATTAAACCTGGAATGAGATGTAGTGAGGATTATCTAATTGCAATGCAAACTCCATTAAAAAGCCACTGTTATTTTCTAAAGTAAACAATGGGGAGGAACCAAAACCTATATTTAGCAATGTAAGTATAATGTAGCATTTTTCATTTATTTTTAGTACCTAACTTGTGTTTTACCAGCTGTTTTTCTGCACATTTGACTGAAGCTCATCACTGACAAATAAGGAGTGCAGATCTAATGTGTAGTTTCTCCTTTTGCAGTTTCTCTTTATAGGTGTGTGTGTTTAGCCTTGTGAGTTGTAGATTATTATTATTCTTAAAAATACAAATATATATATTCATTTTTTTTATGTTTTTTTTCTCTTTAAATTGTAGATCAGTTACTACTGCAAGTGCTTCGTTGACACGAAAAGTCCTGTTCCCACCTCTTCTTCCTCCACAGCGACCCTTTCGGGTATCTAACAGTGATAGGAGCCGACGGAAAGGTGTTGTAGCAAGTACATTAAAGGAACTTGTCGATAAGGTGTGAGTTTAGTGTGTTCTTTTCCATAAAAGCTACATTTTGACATTTGCTAATTGTAGATGTTGAAATGTACTTGCAGCTCATCTTGTTCTAAAAATTATCTGATTATGGTATATTCAGTTGTTGTTTATTTTATGATTCCACCCAGTATTTCATACACATTGTTTGTTTCATCATTTCCTTTTCCTTTTTTCACTTTTCAGTTGTCAGGTCATTTGTTGTTACCCAACAATATTTGCTATAATCTATTTTGTGGTCCACTGGCACTGTTTTTACAATACACTTATGGTGACAGCCAGTGTTCACCTGTTGCCAAGTGATGGTTTGCGATCCCATTGGACTGCCTGGGGAAGAAATGACATTTGGCCGATGCACAGTCATCCATTTCCAATTTTGTTGAAGAGTAAGCCACAACAATGCCTCCGGCTAACAAAGCGCATGATGCTAATATGTATGTCTCCATTTTCTTTCCTGATTCCAGGGCTTTCGCGGGTTAGGACAAGGATTCCTTCTCTTCCTTAACAGAGGTCTCATATTTCTTACAATTCTCCCAATTCTAGTGTTCCCAAGAGATTGAGTGAGTTTTTCAGTTATTTAGAAGATGGTGAGCTGGGATGTGCCTATAATAGACTGAGGTCAGATTAGGGCAGTACATTTATGATTAGGAGCCATGGGTTCCATTGTCACCAAAATTGTTTGTTTCAGGATTAGATGGGCTTTTGCAGACATTCATTTGTATGTGGTATGGCCATTTAGTATTTGGATAACTATTAATAGGGATGGGATTTCCTTTCACTTTCATCATCTCTCATGATAATCTAGCTGCTATGAAAATGTTGGTTATGACGGATTGGTACTCGGTGGGCCATCTATCAATCTCTATACCCGTTTAGCAAGTCTGGAATTAGGTGTATTGGAAATATAAGTGACAGAGGCAATAAACCAAAAATTGTCTTTCCAGAAAATGACCAGATGTGGACAAATATGTGGTATTAAGGTTCTAGTGTGTTCCTTGTCTTCCACTTGGCATAGATGGCCAACAGGATAATTTTGTCTCATCCCAAGCAAACTCTTGTAATACTTAGAAAAGTATTGGCAAGCTTCTTCTAAGCTTGTGTACATTCAGATGACCAATTTGAGAGTCCCAGATATGAGAGTTTACATTTTTATTGCTTGTGGTATTATTATTATTATTTATACAAGTATATGCATGTAAATTGCCCTCTCTGGGCACTAAAAAAAGCAATTTTAGTACACTGCCATTTTAGACCCAAGAGCTGACAATTTATTTCCAATATCAAAGTATTTTGTAATCACAAACTTAATTTTTTAACAAAAAATACTGCTTTTAGCAATTGAAAAATGGCAGCATACTAGATAGAATGTAATATCCTCAAGCAGCTTGATTAACAGGTTTGCATGACTCTTATGTAAGGCTTCATGCACACTAGGGGTTTTTTTTTTTTTTTTTAAGTTCTAAAAACACTGGATAAAAAAAGCTGGTAATAGCGTTTTATAGTAGCATTTAGGAGCGTTAGCATTTTTACAGTACATGTAGGAAAAAGAGTTTAGTAGCATTTAGGAGTGTTCAGCTTTCTGCTCCTAGAAGCTGAAGCTTACAAAACACTTCTAGCCTACAATCTAGGATAACACCAGGCCTAGGCATTTTAGACTGAGCAGCACTTTTTGTAATTTATTTATTTATTTTTGTGGCTGGTGAGCTATGAGCTCACCAGCACCCTTGCAGTTCATTGAGGACTTCAAGACGTCTGCCGCAGTTGTAGTCCATTGGAGCCTATTCACTCACAGTTCGCTGTGAATAAATGGCACGGCTGTTCTGGTTGACAGTGGGTGCAAGGTGAAGAATGCCCACCTGCTGTCTTCGGGGAGGAATGGGAAGGAGGGGGGGTTGGGAGACTGTGTTACACTCTAAATATGGGTATAAGGTTTAACATTCTCCCAAAGGTGAACGTATCCTTTTAAATGCAGACATTTTCCTATCAGATTCTATTTGATCTAAGTATTTTCAAGTTTAAGCTTCTTTAACACAGGCAGACTGATTGGGTCCATCTGTCAGTTTTTCAGATGGACCTGATCGGACCACCCATTGCCCTCTATCGAGCGGCGGATGTCAACAGAGATGTACGTGGATACCCACCAACGTCTAATCCAATCTGCTAAAGAACAAGATGGATGGGGATCTGTTTCCCATCTGTCTGGCGGATTGGATCACAGACAGGCAGTCTGTTTCCATCCAACTGGCCATAGTGGAAAGTGAGCTGCGTCCGTGTTCGCTAGTTGCTCATCTGGAGGGACATGTAATGATAGTTAGTTAGAAAGCCACCTACATCAGCACATACATTCCTCCTAACTCTCCAGCCTCACTTCCTCATCTTCCACCCATACTCACCTGCTGCTGAGCAGGCTCAATTACTCTTAAAGGCTGTCTTGGCTCCTTGCCAAGTCTCCTGCTGGGGATTGGTCAGGATCCTCTAAGAGTACAGACCAGCCACTCCTCACCTCCGCCCACTGCTTCTGGATCTTTCTCCAAAGTCCTAAAGCAGGGGCAAGTCTCAGAGAGCTGATCTGCAGAACCTCTCAGCTCTGACCACAATTTGACCCACCTGGCTATCGCACCCAGGGTGCTACTCAGTCCTCCTCTAAACAATTATTTAGAGCCCACCCCTAGCTGACTAGGACCGTGCTACATGAACAAAGCAATGTTTTTGTGAAAACAAACCTTCTTTTCAAACTTTTAGAATACTGAAACCGCGATCTCTATCTTAATAAAACAGGCTTTTATTTATTTTATTTTTTTTTGTTACAAAAATACAAGTAGTCAGAGTAGGAAAAGATTGCCGATCTGTCACTGAAAGGGATTAATGGCAGAAAAAGGTTCTTGACAAGTAGGGACAGGCTAGAGACCCTCAATCCTTCACAGAAGCCTCCCCACTGGGACTGGATTGACCAGGCCATAGTCCGCCCTCTAAGATAGATACTGTCTGTGCATCTTCCCCGCTGCCTCTGCACTGAACTGTGTGTTTTTTACTCAAATGGTTGTTTCCCGCTCAGATTTTGTAGTTGAGCATACTCTTCAATACAAGTTTTGAGATACTGTGTATGCAACTGGGCTTTGTGTCATCACTGCTGCCACCTACCCACAAGTACATGTAGAGCCAAACTATATATTTTTTTCATTTTGCATAGAGTAGGGGAGGGTTAAAACTGCTTTTATTTCTCATCACGTCCTGTCCTGTAAATTTAACAGGAAGTGAGAGGATATCTTTACAATGCTAGGGAAATCCCAGTTGTCTCAAGGACAAGTGGGCCCCTTTGGATGACTTCCCATCTATTCCTGTTCTGGTGTCAACTCAAAAAATTGGATTTACTGTATCCTCACTTTTATTCCTAGTGACATTGGTGATCAAGACAATTAAAGAGAGCAAATCTCCCTAACGGATACACAGAAATAGAAACCTGGCGGGCTGAATTCCCCTAAAATTCTATCCAAATCTTAAAAAAAAAAAAAAAAAAAAAAAAAATGTTTTGACTATAAAACTTTAAAACGGCAAACCTCTTTTTCTCTAAATAGACACTGGATTGGAAATAGTCTGTCAACTTTAGGAGCTTGAATCCCTGGGCTTTTTTTCTCACTTAATCTTCTTTGAGTTCCAGTGTTTATACCATTTTGTTTTTGATTTTGTAGTCTATCCAAATGTATTAAACCGTATAGTGTGTTTGTTGTGGTGTGGGTTTTTTTTTTTTGTTTGTTTTTTTTCCTTCAGAACAGATATGACTTTAATTTTTCTAGCAGATTTTGATACATATATAGAATAGACTTTTTTTTTTTCTGAACGTGCAGTTAAAGTTTTGAAAACCGTTAAAAATTAAACTTCGTACCAACACAGCATGTACGTAATCTGTTTATTCCCAAATATTTATCCCAAAATATAACCAACACAGACTGCCGAGTATAATTATATCCACAAAGCATGATTCTTGTGTAACACATACTAATAAAGCTCAAAGTTAACATTTTGCATTTTACTTTGAGACCTGCATTTCCCCCTCCACGCGACATTGCAACAATTTAAAAAAAAATAGTTTGTTTAAATTGTGAGAGAAACATGAAGATGAAATCATGTTGGATTGGGGAGGACACAAATTGGTATGCAGCCACTAAACACCTAAAGAACATTGCATTCTCTAATGTGTGCATTTGACGCCTGCGTAGTAAATGTTAGTCCCTTTTTTTTTTTTTTTTTTTTTTTTTTTTTTCTCCCTTTGTATGGGGGTCTAGATCAAAGTCAGTGAAGACCTGATCTAGACCCTCCCCCATACATCTCCGCAGCAACAGATCACAGCTAACATTGATCTATTACTGGCTGCAATCAACCAGCAATAGATTAATATCAGAGTGATCTGCTGCTATAGGGAGAGTCAAGTAAGGGATGCTTCAGCTCTGCTCAAACCTCCAAAATAGGAGCAAGTGCTGTAATGTCATTTACGTCGACCTCAGCCTAAACCAGGAGTAGGCAACCTTACCCCTTCATGCTGGCGCCTCCTGGCCCTTTAAGAGTGTTTCAGAAGCCAGGAGGCGGGACGGGGTTTAGGGATAATGTGACGCGTCATCACGGCAGTCACATGATCGGGAAAGGTCCCGATCAAAAGAAGAGACCGGGACCTTGTGTGCTGGGAGCGCGAAGGGCACACGCTCCCAGCGCATGTTTTTATTTTTATTAGAACGCAAATATGCGCCTGCTCGGTGTCTAGGCCCAGGCGCCGGGAGGCCGCACATTTGAGTGCGGCCGGAGTGAAGAGGTGGAGATCTACCTGAACAAAATGGCAGAAGTCAAAGATCACCGGGCACATTGCTGCCTCCTCATATTTGATTTAAACTTCTAAATGCCATACTACTGTGTCACAATCGTGCATTGCACAGCAATCATGGGTTTAAATCAGGTGTTAAAGAGGCAACATATTGCCTCCTCATCATCTGTCAAACACACTCTGATTGCTTTTCAGAGAGGAGCAGCAGTGTCTGCTGCACTTGTGAATGAGCCCTTAGTTGCATTCGGCAGTGGCACTTTTAGGGCTCGCTAACACACAAAGCTGGGGGGTGCAAAACCTTGCGTTTGAGTCGTGGTTTTACCACCCTCAATCCCTACCCTCTCTAGCTTCTACCTAGTAAACCGCCATTTATTTCCTCCATCAGCTCATCCACCCCACAGCTATTACCTTTTGTATCACTCAACCCTTCCTCCTAGATTGTAAGCTCTAACAAGCAGGGCCCTCTGTCTCCTCTTGTACCAAATTGTATTATAACTTTAATGTCTACCTTCATTTTGTAAAGCGCTGCGCAAACTGTTGGCGTTGTATAAATCCTGTTTAATAATAATTTTACATAGTGCTGTAATTAAAAGGTCTGTGTGACAGGTTTAATACAGTGTAACATTTTGGACCGTTAAAGTATTACCCCTACTCTATAGAGGTCCACACATCTTTCCAAAAAGAGGAACAACTGAGGTGAGAGAGGGATTTGGCTCCAAGAGGGGGACATTTTTCTGCAAATGGGGAACAGTTGGGAGAAATGTTTTTATATTATTATTATTATACAGGATTTATATAGTGCCAACAGTTTGCGCAGCGCTTTACAATATAAAGGAGAAACTAGTACAATTATAATACAATTTTAGTACAGAAGGAATGTGAGGGCCCAGCTCCTGGAGATTACAATCTTATATGGGTAAGGGCCATCTTTCCACCCCTCCTGACTACCTGCAGGAGACAGCGAAGCTGCTTTCAGGATCACGGGAAACCCTAGGAAATATGGGGAAGGCTGCCAATACAACGACATGCTCACGTGCTTTAAAAATGAGGGTCATGCAATGTAAAGATTGCTCAATCACAAAACACAAATCTTTGTGTAAAACAAAAATAAAACAGACTTGCATATGAACTCACAGAAGGCATGCCCTTCTTCTTTTTTTTTTTTTTTTAAAGGGCTGGAACGAATACATTCTATGTAATCATTAGGTTGTTTTTTGGTTTTGTCCCCCCCCCCCCCCTTTTTTTTTTTTTTTTTTTTCCCATGTAGGTTATCCCACAAATCAATTTTTTTTTTTTTTTCTCCTTGTTAACAGGCCATTGATACATTATTGATAACTGCTGGCGTGGTAACACTTGTACTAGAGGAAGATGGCACTGTCGTTGACACGGAGGAGTTCTTCCAGTCTCTGGAGATTAACACAAACTTTCTACTCCTTGAAGGAGGTCAGAAGTGGACACAGGTGTGTTTTTCAGGTTTTAGGATTTGGGTAGTCAGTGGTGTACTATCTGATAACGTAACAGATGGTGATAGTATATTGTGTGTCCATACACTTCCCTTGGTGTCTGCATTTGGACACCAGCATCTTCACCAAAGCTGTGCAAAGAGCAATCGGACATGAGATGCAACTTTTTTTTGTTTGTTATGGGGGGTTTTTAGTCATGTGAAATGCTTTCTGTTTCTGCCTTTTAACTCTGCTTGCTGAAAATATTCATTATGGTGCCATTAATTTTATTACATTAGGAAATCCTCTAGATTCATTAAATGATCTTGCAAAGAATTTTAGATTACTGCATTTGTTTTTTCATTACCTTTCTAAGCTGCTAGGTTTCAATCGCTTCTCCATTCTTCATGTCCTGTGTGCATCTCTTGTTGATCTGCCTTATGCATTTAGCGTATATAGACCCAAAAAACAGAAATTATGTTGTAGCTTACCAGGTGCTAGACTAGGTGGATGATTTAGTTTTTGTTTTTTTGTTTTTTTCTTTGTTTGCCTGGTGTTCCTACGCCTAAGGGTTCATGTGTACTGATAAACTCACGTTCAGGAGCTTTTCTGAATTTTTTTTCAGCAGCCCCTGAACTCTCCCTAATGTTTTCCTATGTATCCATGTACACTATGTTGTTTACAGGCAGTTGAGTTTACAGCCATATTTTTTGAACACCCCAAACTTGCGTTCAGGAGTAGATTTTATCAGCGTTTCAAATGCCAAATGCTTGTAAACACGGCTAACCGCATTTATAAGCGTTTGCATTTAGAAGCATTTTTTTTAACTGTTCCATACCCAGATGCTGTCCAGAGCCTTTTTCATCATCAGAAATGCATGCAAAGTGTTTTCCATGTATTCAAATGGACCTAGCACACCAGTGCAGTCAGTTCCAGGTTTTGTGTGAAGGAAAAAATGGTAGAACGTGCTTAATTATGCTCATGACCCATCATAGTGAATACAACCATAAAAGACAGGTAATCTCAACAAATACTGCTCTCTCTGCTTCTGCTCTCTCTTTCTCTCAAAATGTCTGAAATAGTTAATTTTTTACTGTTTTTCAGTGCATTCTGGGCATTTTGGAAGGTCCCCTGATGATGTTATTTTTAAAAAACGCTTCTAAACGCGGTATGCAAACACGGCTAAAAAGACGTTTTTTAACCTACGTTTTACAGCAGTCAGTTTCCATCGTTCAGAAGTGTTTTCCAAATGTCCCTTGTACATGGAGCCTAACAGGCTTCCTGTCCCTTTTTGTGGCTACACTCATTTCTCCATTGTTGTATGTATGGAGACAGGGATGGTTGTCAGACTGGACTTTAAATGTGTCTGCCTTTGTTCATCTCTATTAAATGGTCAATAAATGTAACTACCTGTAGTTTTATTTTCTTGGATTGGAAGCTCCGTGAGCAGGGCCCTCCTATTCCTTCTGTATTGTAATTGTACTGTTCCACTTTACATTGTAAAGCACTATGCAAACTGTTGGCGCTATATAAATCCTGTATAATCATAATATTTCTTTGTGATTTTGTTTAAACTCACAAAGTGACAAGGACACTACATTTATGGAAAGATCAGCAGGTATTTTCTTTACTTGCTGAAAATATGCTTAGCCTGAGAAAAGAAAATTAATGTAGCCACCGCTTCTGAGGACTGGTAAGCTTCAAAAAAAAATTTTTTTTTTTTTAGGTTTAGGTAAGCTATAAAGTTTTTGCTTCTTAATTTTTAAATGTTTGCCACTAGATGGCAGAGAAAGACTAGTAAATATTTTCGCAGACTGTTACATTCATGAACATCCATAATTTATAGAGGACCATTAGCACAATTTCCATGCATTCCATCACGTTCTTTTTCATGACCTTTTTTTGCTTTTCTATAAAATGTATGTAATGGAGACGTATAGGCAAAACATGAAATTAATTACATATTGTGTTCATTAATAAGTAATGTAGACTGAACTTTGAGTAATGCTGTTTTTAAATCCATAGGAAAGAAAAGCTACACGTTCAACACCACAAACGCACAAAAAAGGAATCGCAAATGTTACCCTAGACTTATACAAGTTACATCCTAGGGATTTTATAGGCTGTTTGAATATAAAGGCAACATTTTATGAAATGTACACGGTGTCTTGTGATATCCAGTGCTTGGGAGCCAAGAAGGTTCTACGGTGAGTGGCTACATAATATCAGCTAACCTTTAATAGCAAAATGTAAGGAAGTCTGTACAATGGGCTTTACATGAGATATTGGAATTTTTTTTTTATTTTTCTGCAGGGCTAAATAAAATATTATAAGGGCCTTTTCAAACCTGTCCACTCTGGTGTGCGTACCATAACGTGTTCTGTATCGTGTATTGGGTGTTGTATTAAAGCAGCCCATTCATTTTGAATGGACTTTCAACTCACTAGAGCATACAGAAAAACATACCTGCCCCTTTTTTTCCCAACACAGCTCACCACAATGCTTGCTAGTGGGTCTACTCGTGTTGCAGTGCGCTGTGGTAGTTCATAAGGCCACCATCCAACATGTATAAGTTGCAGTTACACGCACTTTATAACATAATGGTGTAAATCCAACCCAATCCAATACAAATGTGCACCCATGTAGAAATATTTCAAACAAATGAGAAGTGGCTTATAAACTGTCATTCCGTGTTAGAAAGGTAACCTTCTGTGGACACCAATTTTGCTGGCTGTCATGCTGACCCAGTAATGTCCATACCTTCTGAGCCACAGACTTGCAACAAGCATGCAGATAATAAATTCTGATGTCATGGTCAGTTTTCTGGTCCATATCTGTGTTCCAGGTTTCTGTTTCAAAAGTACGAAAGCCAGAGACAGTCAGGCATCTAGTATTTCCAGAAACGTGCCAGCATTTGTAGCCCCATTATTTTTCAGAGTACAAGTTTCAAAAACCATCTACTTGCTTGATTTTATAAGAACAACACTTTCAATGGTATATTGGTTGTGTTTTTTTTTTTTCTTGTCATTTTTACTTTTGCAGTTTTTTCCTGGCTAGAACTTATTCATATTCGCTTATGAGAAAGTTTTACTGACAGGTTGACAATCAACAGAAGTGAATAGAACAGATTTGTACAAACTGAAGGGAAACAAAAGATGTCTGAGCTGACTTTAACTTGAGTAAAAAAAAATACACTTGTACACCAATGGTTCAGCTGCTAGAAGAAGAGGGAAATATACTTACATGTATATACGCACCAATCAGTCATAGCATTATGACCACTGACAGGTAAAGTGAAAAACTTTGATTATCTCATTACAATGGCACCTGGAAGTGGGTAGGATATATTAGGCACTAAATAGACATGTTGTCCATTAAGTTAATTATGTGTTGAAAGCCAAAAAATGGGCAAGCATAAAGATTTTAATAAGTTTGACAAGGACGAAATTGTAATGCCTAGATGACTGGGTCAGAACATTTCCAAAACTACAGCTTCTGTGGGATGTTTCAAGGAATGAAGACTGGGATGCGGGGAGTGAAAGTTGGCCTATGTAGTATGATCCAATAGAAGAGCTACTGTAGCTCAAATTGCTGAAAATGTTAATGCTGGTTCTGAAACAAAGATGTCAGAACACACAGTGCATTGCAATTTGTTGTGTATGGGGCTGTGTAGCTGCAGACCGCTCAGGGTGTCCATGCTGACCATGGCCAAATGTGCCTACAATGGGCATGTGAGCATCCAAACTGGACCATGAAACCATGTGGAGGAAGTTGGCCTGGTCTGATGGATTAAAAAATGGTCGGAGGAACACAACAGTGCTCTGCTGCATAGTAACCATAGCTCAGCACATGTGCCATACATAGAACACATTGCATTCCTATCTCTTTAATTATTCGAAGTGAAGATCTGCCCCATCTCTTCTCCCTGTTTAGTCAGATGTTGCCTTTTGATTCTTTGATTTCTATAAAATCCGTAGTTCAAATTCAGCTTTAATATACACTATATTGCCAAAAGTATTAAGACACCTGCCTTTACATGCACATGAAATTTAATGGCATCCCAGTCTTAGTCCGTAGGGTTCAGTATCGAGTAGGCCCACCCTTTGCAGCTATAACAGCTTCAACTCCTCTGGGAAGGCTGTCCCTAAGGTTTAGGAATGTGTCTATGGGAATATTTGACCATTCTTCCAGAAGTGCATTTGCGAGGTCAGGCATAGACCAGAAGGCCTGGCTTGAAGTCTCCGCTCTAATTTATCCTAAAGGTGTTCTATAGAGTTGAGGTCAGGGCTCTGTGCAGGCCAGTCAAGTTCCTCCACCCCACACTCACTCCACCATGTCTTTATGGACCTTGCTTTGTGCACTGGTGTGCAGTCATTTTGGAACAGAAAGGGGACATCCTCAAACTGTTCCCACGAAGTTGGGAGCATGAAATTTGTCTGAAATGTCTTGGTATGCTGACGCCTCAAGAGTTCCCCTCACTGGAACTAAGCCCAACCCCTGAAAAACAACCCCACAACATAATCCTCCACCCCTTCACCAAAATTTAAACTTGGTACAATGCAGTTGGGCAAGTACCGATCTCATGTCAACTGCCAAACCCAGACACGTCCATCGGATTGCCAGACAGAGAAGTGTGATTAGTCACCCCACAGAACACATCTCCACTGCTCTAGAGTCCAGTGGCAGTTTGCTTTACACCACTGCATGCGACTTGGCTATGGCTATGGAAACCCATTCCATGAAGCTCTATACGCAATGTTGTGCTAATCTGAAGGCCGCATGAAGTTTGGAGGTCTTTAGCTATTGACTCTGCAGACAGCGACTTCTTCTGCACACTGTGCGCTTCAGTATGCACTGCCCCCTCTGTCATTTTTCGTGGCCTACCACTTCGTGACTGAGTTGCTACAGTTCCTAGTTGCTTCCACTTTGTTATAATACCACTAACAGCTGACTGTAGAGTATTTAGTATCAAGGAAATTTCATGGATGGATTTTACACAGGTGGCAAATTATGGTACCACGCTTGAATCATTAGGCTCCTGAGAGCGACCCATTCTTTCACAAATGTTTGTAGAAGCAGTCTGACTGCCTAGGTGCTTGATTTTATACACCTGTGGCCATGGAGGTGATTGGAACACCAATCCAATAACTGGAATCCAATGATTTGGAGGGGTGTCCCAATACTTTTGGCAATATAGTGTATATGCATGGTTATCAAGACAACATAATAAAAATTATCTATATCTCGAAAAAAAGTCTAAGCATTCTAAGATAAATTTTATATTATATTCTTCCAGTCTTTAAAATATTGCATAGCGCACTCAATCTATTTTTCAAATAAATCAGCCTTGGAGGTGGGGAGTAATGCTGATACGTGCTTCCTCTAGAGTACTACAGTTCTCATTATTTCCAACAGCAGTGCCATCTTGTTTAAGGCACGGTATGCTGTGGCATATCTGTAATGTCTTCACTTCCATTGATCCCTGAGGAGGGACATGACTGGATGAGGTCAAAGAAAGTAACCCACTCCAAAACGTTCATATTTTTTTAACTATTCCGTTTCTTGTATTGCCCCCCCCCCCCCCCCCCTCTATTGTACAGCGCTGTGTAAACCCTTTGGCGCTATATAAACTCGATGTAATAATAATAACTAGCACGGTTTGTCATTTTACTCGCTCATCCTTCACACATGGCTGTGTGTTCAGAGAACCCCCCTTGAGTAGAGTAAAATCATCCTTAACAGATACACGTCTTGACTTACACTAAGAAGCAGCTGTTGTGTAAAGCGCAGCTGTTGTGTGTCCAGTTGTGTCCAAAAAGAGACCGACCGCACCTGCCAGCATATCCTGCTTTCAGTCTCCTTGTCTGGCGGTTTCTCATTACTCAACTGAGAGTTAAAGCAGCACACACACACGTAAATTCTTTAAACTAGCCAAGCGAGGTTGTCCAAGTGAAGTTTAGTTCAGTGTGTTTTTATTCATGACTGATTTAGCAGTACAGCGCAAAGATCTCTTTTTGTAATTGTTCCAGTTTGTGTTCACGTATATGGCATCAAAAGTTTAAGCCTCCATCCAATTAAACTCTAGTGATCAAAAGTTTAAGAACCATATTCTTCCCATTTTTATTGAAGTGGTTCAAAATCCATGAATAACATGAACTGGTACAAGGATATGGGTGGTAAACTGCTAGAACTTAGAAGATGAGGTTAGGTTACCAAAAACAGGAAAAAAATTATGTAAATTTCTGCACTATAAACCTTAATTTAGGCCTATCCTTTAGAGAAATTGCAGAAAGAAAATTCCAGGGTGTCAGTGAGTATAGTTTCCTAAGCCATTAAGATGGTGTGTTTTGTAACTTGAGTTAAAGCTGGATATAGACATGATCATTTTCTGTCCACTTCAATCACCTTTTTAAGTCACTGGGAAACACAAATGATTGTAAATTCTCACCAGATCCAAATCAATCTACCTCTCAGGAATCCAACTTCCAAATGGCGTTCAAACTGGGCAATAAGTGTAGCGCACCTCCTAAGTGAGCCACTATAATAAACTGGTCTCTTTCCCCAAATTTAATGCAGAGGCAGCCAGGTGAGCAGCATTTTATCTCTGGCTCAGTAAACAGTCTGGGTGTATTTTATTGCAGTTTAAACCTGAATGGAGTAAGGGGAGCATGGGATACCCCTAAAGAAAAACAGAGTAACTAAAGGTCACTTCTTCCTGCTGATCTGTCTGTGTCACAAAGCGAAGGTAGTGGATAAGATTACGTTCCCACAAAGATCTATACTGACTAATAAGTACGGTATTTTGAAGAGCAGAGAACTAAGGCTCTGAATTCAGATAAGTACTCACAATGCCACAGGGTCATCGGTTGCCTCCTTCCGATATCCAGTGGGCACTCTTCAGTGAGAGAAAAACAAACTTGCAATACCACAGGACAGCTGGACACCATCCTCCAACTCCCACCGTGTACTGTTCAACAAGCTCTCCAGACCAAAATCCCAGTCCAGACTTTGAAATAGGCCCCCAGCTATGCTGCAGCTGGGACCTTGATAGCATTTCAGCAACCGCCCTTAGGGCAGTTCCCACTCAGGTCAGGGGTCATCCTGCAGGATGGGACCCAGGACCAACTCAACTCCCACTTCAGACTATTTATGAACTCCCCAATCACCTACGTGGCACCCCCCCACCTCCCCATACCCCAGAGTTTGGCTGGGTTTCCATAAATATTCAGACTGCCTTTCCTCCCACTACAATTCTAGAACCCTCCAGAATGCAGGAGGAAATATTCAGACCAGCAACCTGTGAAACACCAAGCAGGCTAAATTAATCAATCACTGCTCCACAGGCTACAGAGGAGCCGAACTAAGTTTTCTTAACATCCTATACCCTAACTAGTAGGTTGCTACAGAAGTTTACAGCTTCAATGCAGTTTACTGAAAGATTGAATTGAGATGTAGTGGAAATAGGGAAAAGTTGCATCGATCAGACAAACTTTGATCCCATCTCTTTGCAGTCAATTAAAACAATAATTTCAGGTCCTTAATTGCTTTGCAATTTTGGCACAAAATGGAATTGAAAGTTTGATTGCTATGGCAGATTCTGGCAGTGCATTTGGAAGCTTGTAGTCCAACTCAGAAAAGGGCAGCAATGCTGCATCTTAATTAAAGAATTCTACTTGTTGACATTATAGAAAGCCTTGCAATGACAAATTTGATGTAAGTGTTTTGGTTTGGATGCACTTTAACCACTTGCCCTCCAGAGGATTAACCCCCCTCTTGACCAGGCCATTTTTGGCAATACGGCGCGGTTTCTTTAGCAATTGCGCAGTCATGCAATGCTTCACCCAAATTAAATTATGTACTTTCCCACAAATGGAGCTTTTATTTCGGTGGTATTTGATTGCCTGTGCGGTTTTTATTTTTTGCGTTCTTAACAAAAAAGCTGTCCAGCTGAGCACTGGTTAAAGGTTGCAGGAAGAGTTTTCATTCTCCTTTTGACTGCCGTAAGGGGCTGCATAACCCCTGACCCTCTGTCTGGACAGTGCTGATTGGCCCTGTGCTGATCAAATGCATCCTCCCAAAGATAAAGAAAACACTCTAGCACATACACACTGAGCACGTGTAGAGTGACTTTGAAGATTATCAGGAGATGAGTTGGGGACACTGTAAGAAGGGCAGGATCAGAGAAGCCAGAATCAGTCTTTTTACACAATGCACAGGATTAACCCCTTAGGTTCCCCAGTATAAAAAGCGTGCTAGACTGCATATACAGACTGATTTACTATTGTGGGTTTAGTAATACTTTAAGTGCTGTCCTTTGAAAAATTGCTACATGTGTTTCCTCTTGTAAATCCCTGGGCGTGCTGATGTACTCACACTGTCCTCCTTGCTCCCACTGCTCCCAGGACTTGATCCTGTTCATACCATGATGCTGAATGGATCCTCAGCCAGCCCGGGCTGAAGGCCAGCCACCCCCTAGACCTAAGGGACCCCTCCCCAGTCACCGACTGCCTTCTACTCCATTTTCCACCTGACTTCCTTACCAACCTGATTTTCCAATATTTATGGGTTGGTCTCACCCCTCTACCAGGGCCTCCAAACCTGTGATTGGTTAGACTGCCATAAACATGCAGATTAGGTGTCCACCAATTCCGCCCATTGTCTTCTGGAAGCTTCCATGGTCCAACCTGTTAAGCCATCCAGCCTGGCCTGCAGTAACTTGACCTAATTACAGACTCACACAATTACCAAGAGTCATGCACAATATATTTACCTACACTACTCTAGTAACATGGTAGAGGGTACTACGCTATTATAAATTACAATACATCCTTGCTTGACATTTTACTGTGTTGTCAACTGCTGTTCGCATAAGAGATGTAGCAGTCAACAGAGAATGAAAAAAACAAAAGTCAGAGGATATCTGACCATTTCATATGTATTCAAAGTAAGTAACCTAAGGAAGACCTATAGAGGGTTATTTTACTAAAAGTGGAGAGCGCAAAATCTGGTGCAACTCTACATTGAATCCAATCAGCTTCCAGGTTTTATTGTCAAAGTTTAATTGAACAAGCTGAAGTTAGAAGCTGACTACCATGCATAGCTGAATGCTCCAGTTTTGTTAAATCTACACTACGTTCTGGAATAGCATCCTGATCTATATATTATATTATATTTCACATCCAGAACATGGCCAGCGAGGCCAAAAAGGACAAAGAATGCATCAATACGTTCAATATACTGCATTTTAATTGCTGTTTTATGTATATAGTCTCATTCAAGTATACCTTTCTGTAACTTGAAAAGTCTACATAAATGTCTGCCATGCCCCAATATACAGTAACTATTTTATATAAAAAAGAAGCCTTATTATTATAAAAAAAAAACAGTGCTTGAGCTTGTCAAGTGCCTTTGCCTGGGCATGATGATGTTTCATAATGGGATGATGTCATCAGTCTGCTGTAGGCAGAAGGAAGCATTACTCTTCCCCAGTGATTAGACTGCAGTATTATAAATTTGTAGTTAGCCACAGTTGGACAAGCTGTAGCAGGTGGTTGAGCTTTGTGAAATTTTGGTGAGGGCAGCCAAGAACTGCACAGGCACCAGAATGACTGTCTCATCTCTGAGCCAAAATCTCAATGCAAGAAGTAGACGCTAACACTGAATAATGCCTTGAACAAAGATAGTGCTGGCCTTTTGGGGGCCAAAGCAGATGATTGTTTTTGGGGAGTACTGTGATTTCTGTGAGAAGTAAATATTACTAAATGTCAACCATGCACAAACAGTGCAGTGTATATTCCCAGCATCTGTAACTGTGTGCAAGAGTGACTCTACATTATTAGATGTTGCCATGTGGCTGAAGAGGTGCGACGTGTGACCTAAAAGAAGTGGTGCAGAAGACGGCATTGGGGTAGGAGGCAAAGCATTTACAAATGTGGACTTGTCAGTGCTAGAGTAGGGTATGCTAGGAAGCAAGTGTACTTGCACAAAGAGTCCACTCCCTCCTATCAGACGTTTTTGTTCAGCTTTAAGCTCTATGCACACTGGCTCAAAGTTCTGCTCCTAGAGGAGTTTAGTGTTTTGCCT